GGGAGATTCGGCTCTGATACTATATTTGTCACGACCCAAGCCCATGGAACGTATTGTCCACTTTGGGCCTAGGCCTGCACGGATGTCTTTCGGGCTACGCCACATCGAACCCCAAAAGCGCGCGTACTATGTGAACTTGTGTCATGCCTTATACAACTCTTCACTTCCCTCTTACCCATTCCGATGTAGGATTCGCCTAGGTGACACGTGCACCCCTTCTTCTAAAGCTTGCCAGCCTAGAAGCCTGCCGGTCCATCTTGACTCGCCTTTATCAGTCGGCCCTCCGTGAGCATCACAACTTCCCTCAATGTGAAGATTATGCTGCCTATGAAGTCTTTCCATCCTTTTATAATATTTCTCCAAATTCCACACCCAAAAGGAGGTGCGATGTTTTAGTCTTCCACCCCGTTTCAAAATTTCACACATTTTTGCTATCACCTTCCTTCGTAGAGCGTGCTCCTCAATCCTGAATCTCCATAACCATTTTTCTAATACGACCTTGTTGAAAAACTTAGAGATCTTTCATCCCTAAGACACCTCTCCCCCAATTTCGTTGGAGATGTAACGTCCTCTTAGTTGACTAAGAGAAACTTCCTAGCCCCATTTGTGGAGTCTTATAGGAAGTTCCTTTGGAGCCTTCCAATTTACCCGTGACATTCCTTGGTGCGGCAATGACATAAAATACATAGGGATGCTCGACAGAGTCTACTTCCTTCCCTCCTTTTGATATATACCTCTTTTGATATGATGCTAGCCTCTTTTAAACACTCTTAAACACCAGGCTCCATGTTGCTTGGTCTTTATTGGGAGCATGCAAAGGTAAGCCAAGATAATTGGTTGGAACTTGGAAGAGCTCCAACCCTATAATCGAGCACGTGTGCTAATCGCGCAGTATTATCCATGTCACGACCCAACTTCAACTATAGGTCGTGATGGCGCCTAATGACGCCGTCAGGCAAGCCAACATTGATTATCAATTTATTTACTCATTTTGTTACTTTCAAAATCATAATCTCCATTACTTAAATAGTATAGGGTAAAATGATAATAACTACGTGAACTACAATAAAGAACAACCAGTGGGAACCCCCAAAACCCGGTGTCACAAGTGCATGAACATTTTCTAAGGAGTACAATAGTAATACAACATCTGTCCCGAATGTAATAAGACAAAATAAATTAATCAGTACAATGGAGACTCGGTGGACTGCGGTGCGTAGCCTGGAATGCAGCTCACATGAAGTCTCCTCAACAGGTGCGTCTACGCGCCAAGGTGATCATCAAGTGAAACTGTCAGATCTTGCACATTTAGTGCAGATGTGCAGCACGAGTACGTAAATCAACGCGTACCCAGTAAGTATCTAGCCTAACCCCGGAGAAGTAGTGACGAGGGGTCGACATCGACACTTACTAAAGGTCCAATAAAGCAATATAATAAAACATAAGCAGGTATGAAGCATACGACAATGATGGGGTAAATCTGAAAATACATAATCTTCCAATTACTTCTTTTAAAGCATAAATTTCTAGATCTTGTATTCTACCTTAACAGCTCAGAGAATGTCAAGTGTCAAACTTAAATAATAAGGAATACCATATAAAACGCCAGGCATTAATGGAAGGTTTATCTCGTGAATATTCGAACTAATAGAATTATAACGCACGATTTTCGCCGAGATCGTTCGGCCCGATCCAGAATAATGTGTACACTACCGAGTTGCGGCACGAACCATAAATGCATCTATATACTGCCGAGGCGTTCGACCCGCTCCACAAGAAAGGAAAGAAGTTGCCGAATTACGAGACACGTGTTTACAATACAGTATATGAGCACATAACGAATATAATCTTTACGCTTCTCAAATAACTCGCCCACAACTCAAAGTGTTAAAGCTCGGCCTATTATACATATATTTATTTCTAAATCAACTTCAGTTATAACTTTAATTAATTAAGCCAGCAGAACGAGTTCAAATAATTTAATTATTACATGATAAAGTCCTAAGTCTACCCGGACATAAACATGCTTTAGCTACGTACGGACTCTCGTCACCTCGTGCGTACGTAGCACCCACAACTAGTTGCACATAACAATAAATATCACCAAGGGGTAGTTTCCACCTCACAAGGTTAGACATAAGACTTACCTCGCTCCGAAGTTCCATAACCGGCTCCTACGCCATTCAAACACCTCAACCCGATGCCCGTCTCTTCAAAACTAGTCAAACAAATGTGCATTACCCATAATTAATCAATTAATAACAATCCCCAACTCCGCTCGAAAGGTTGATAAAGTCAACCATCGGTCCCATGTGCCCGGATTCCGAAATATTTTGAAGATAAACCTTACCCATAACACCACGAACTCAAATATATAATTTACTCCTAATTCCATGTCCAATTTCGTGGTCAAAATCCTAAAATACCAATTTCTAGGTTTTCTACCAAAATTCCAAATTTCTACTAATTCTCATGCTTAAATCCACATATGAACCATGTATTTAACTCACAATGTGAAGAAATCACTTACCCGATAATAGATGATGAAGATGACACTCCAATATTGCTCCAAAATCGGCTCCCATGGACAAAATGAAGTGGAAATGAGCCAAACCCTTATTTTAAAAACCACATTGCCTAGCCCGACCTTCACACCTGCGGCCAAACAGTCGCACCTGCGGACAATTCCATCGCAGGTGCGGTTTCCTCTAAGGCCAGGCAAATCCGCATCTACGGACACAACTCACGCTCCTACGCTCCCGCACGTGCGAAGGTCGCCCGTTTCTGCTACCCCAGCTGCCCAGCTCGCATTCCGCTTCTGCGCTCGTGCACCTGCGCGTCCTTGGTCGTTTCTGCAGCCCAGGCCTTCTTGGCCAACCTCCGCTTCTGCGCTTCTTCTCCGCATCCGCGGCTTCACAGGTGTGGACATATCCTAGCACCTGCGCTCCAGATTTCCCCCACTAAATATCGCACCTGCGATTGCATCCTCGCACCTGCGTGACCGCACCTGCAGCCACTCTTTCCGCAGGTGCGATTGCACCAGATTTCAGCAGCAGCAGCAGGTCCTCAAATTCCAAGCTCGATCAGTTTTCGATCCGATCCGCAACCGGGGTCCCCCGGGACCCCGTCCAAAGATACCAACACATCCCAAAACACGACACTGACCTAGTCGAGGCCTCAAATCACGCCAAACAACATCGAAACTACGAATTGACGATCGGGATCCTTTTTTAAACTTTTCAAACTTCCAAACTTCGACGAACGCATCCGATTCATATAAAAACATTCCGGAATGACGCCAAACTTTGCGCACATGTCACAATTCACGATACGAACCTATTCCAAGGCTCGGAATCCAAACGGATATCGGTAACACCAAAGCCCACTCCAAACCAAACTTAGAAAATTCTTAAACTTTCAAAATGTTAACTTTCCATAATAAACGCCGAAATGCTCCCGGGTGATCCGATACTCAACCCAAACATACGCCCAAGTCCGAAATCATCATTACGAACCCATTGGAACCTTCCGATCCCGGTTCCGAGGTTGTTTACTGAAAGTCAAACCTTAATCAATTCTCCCAAGTTAAAGCTTCCGAAATTAGAATTTTCTTTCCAAATCAATCCCGAACTTCCCAAAATTCAATTCCGACCACACGTACAAGTCATAATACCTGAAGTGAAGCTACTCAAAGCCTCAAACCGCCGAACGACGCGCTAGAACTCAAAACGACCGGTCGTGTCATTACAATCCACTTCACCTATTGGAATAATCTCACACTTCTTGAGGTTGATCTAGGGCTTGCACATCCTCGTACCACGTAAGAACCCTTCCAAGAAAATTTAACTGGTAAATTTTTGCTTCACACAAAACAGAAGTGTCATCTGCGAACATGAGATGTGAAACCCTTGTCCCCTGATTGTTGCAGAGTAGCCCCTCAAGTGACCAGTTACCATAATTCTATCCATCATTGTAAGTTTTTCAAATACCAAGATGAATAGCATGAGAGGCAACAAGTTCCTCTGTCTCAAGCTCCTCGAGCTGCTAATGAAACCCCATGGGCTCCCATTCACTAGGATCGAGAGTGACAGTTGATATGCAGAACTTGATTCACTTTCTCCTCCTAATTCTGAATCTCATCTTCAACATTATTTAGTCTAAGAACTCTCGATTCACATGATCCTATGCCTTCTTAAGATCCTGTTTACGCAAGATCTCCGACTCTCCCTACTTCCTTCTGGAGCCAACCACTTCGTTTGCCACCAAAGCCGTGTCTAGCATTTGTACGAACCCATTCTGAGATGTAACACTGTCTCATCCAACACTTTCTTCAATCTACTAAAAAACTTCTTAGATATTATGTTGTAGATGCTTCGCGCTAGACTTATAAGCCTGTAGTCCTTAATATTCATTGCTCCTTCTCTTTCCGATATGATGGCTATGAATAATGCGTCGAGACTTCTTTCGAATTCTCCGGTCTCCTTTTCTTATGAGACATTAGAACCAGCTATAATTTTTCAATTTTTTGTGAACTTTAATCAGTTCAACGCGAACCTAGTTTAGTGATGCAAAAGACATCCCACCTATGATAGTCAAGTTCACCTCCAAGAATTAACTGCTAATGCAAAAAAAAGAAAAAAGAAGAAAAAAAAAGGAGCTCTGTAATGACTGTGATGGTGATTACTTTGGATTACTGCCTTTGTTCTATCACTATCATGTTTTGAGGACAACCAAAATTCAAGGTAGACATTAGTCTCTTAATTTCTTATTACACATAACTAACAATTTTCTGCTAACTCTTTAATGTCACTTCCTTGAACAATACAACTCCACAAGAGTATATCTGGAATCTGGTATAATATTAGATATCTACTTTAACTACCTTTTGTGGAAGTCACTTTATGTAGCATAATTTTAGTACTTTACTCAGCAACAGCATGTTTTTAAGTATATTTTCAAACACACGAGAATACTAACTGAACTATACGCCTTTTCCATAGGAAGCACCTGCAGTTGTTAAGTCTGTCTATGACAAAAGAATAGTTGGATGCCCTGGTGCTGAAGGAGGTTGGTTAGCTCTTCGTTTTTTCAAACTGGTGTTTTTATTTGGCTATGAACAAGGGGGGCTTTTTAGCTTTCTTGTTCTCCCTCCCCTGCTTTTCTTCTGCATACATTAACATAAATGTACTGAAGAAACCTCATTTTGCTGAATCTATTTTGGCCTTTTCTTTTTCAACAGAAGATGAGCATGATGTGGTCTGGTTTTGGTTGGAAAAAGGCAAGCCTCACGAGTGCCCTGTCTGTTCTCAATACTTCAAGGTAGGTCAGAGGTCACACTACTACAATCTGCAGATGCATGAATCCTTCTGAAGTGTTCAAGAAACATTTTACTGATATTGGATTTTTCTAAATTACACCTACACAAACTAACTACTTGATTTGATATTTACAGCTAGATGTTGTTGGGCTTGGAGGGCCTCCCGATGGGCATGGAGATGATCACTAAGTTGAGTTATAGGTTTTGGCATTAGAAATAAACTCATTTGAGGATGAGGAGAATATTGACGGCTGGAAAACACAGACTGTTTCATACTTAATGAAGAGGTCAAACTTGAAACTTTAGCTAGTGAACCTCAGTAAATTTACATTGATTTTTTGCTTCCATGGACTAGTCATACCAGAGGCTGGATTTTCTTTTAACCTGTCCAAATTATTCTTAAATAATGATTGGCTATTTTTTGTGCCAACTTCAAATGTTTTACTAGTTCACTACTGCTGTACCTTCTTTACTTACATTTGATTATATATTTGATTCATGGTTGTGATAATCATTTCTATTCATCATTGTAATGTTGTTGCTTTAATTCCCAACTGAGCAACATATAAGTGAAATGACAACCTATGAGGCACCATTCAGCTTCATGTTCCTTGCACTTTGTATGTTGTTTAAATGCCCGTATTGTTAAATGAACAGCTTTTGGTGTCTTGTCTCGTAGCAACTGATTTAAAGAGCATAAAAATGTCTAAGGTGCTATTGATCCTTTTAAGAATATTTCACTAGATCTGACTCATTTTTGCTTTATAGAACCTTAATATACGATGAGGAATATAAATTGTTTTATCTCCTTGCCATGGTATCGATATTAAGTAGTAGCACAAACTCTATAGGTCCAAGAGATATTTACTGCTCACTCAATGCGTCAACAACCTTGGAATTTGATGAGGTTGGTATATTTTAGTGATTCATTAGTTGACAAACTTGGTTGTAAAGTGTCGGTTGGCTTATTGTCCTTGGATTGGTGTGAATACTTGGTTGTGAAGTGTCAGTTGGCTTATTGTCCTTGGATTGGTGTGAATTGTGATACTAAGACTGCATACTCTGTTGCTGACTATATCTTCTGATTAAATTACAATATAGGCAAAGAACTATGCTATCATCGAAGTCCCATGTATTGGAATTGCCGACGATGCGAAATATCCATTTCTTTAGCAGAGACTGATTATATTGGCTTCTTATGCAAACGAATTTGTTAAATATCCTGTAGGTTGAGAATCCAATGATAGAAGGCCATCGTCGGTATTGTCATTATATTGTTAAGTTGATGTTCTCATGCCCCTTAGGTGTTCAAAATAGAGTAGTGCATTCATGAAAGAAGATTAATCCTCTACAAAACCTTCAGAAAGGAGTTGAATCATCTGAATAAATGGCAAGTATGAGGGCACGGGAGGTAATTGCTGAATGCCTTAGTTCATTACAATCTGAATCCCATGAAAATCAGCAGAAAGCTCTGCTAACCTTAGCTTCAATCACAAAGGTGAGCCCTCAAAATAGGAACTTGTTAGCTCAAGCAGATGGTTCCATTTCTACCTTGCTCAGCCTATCCATGTCTCCCTCCTCTTCAACCATTCAACTTCTCGCGCTTTCCATTCTCTTCAACCTCTCACTCAATCCTAATCTCAAGCAGTCACTAGCAGACATGGATAAGATCCTGTTTCTCAACTCTGTGATCCTATCCTCAACTTCAGCTGAACCAAGTAGGATATCAGCATCACTACTCTGCAGTTTGGCAATGCTAGATAAGAACAAGGCAAAATTTGGAGTGGCTGGAACCGTTGAGGCTCTCGTAAAGGCAATCTCGAGACCAAGAGGCCCTGCTTCCCATCACTTCCTAAGCACATTGGTTGAACTGGTGCAGTTTCATGGGAATTGCACGGTGGCTGTCCGAGCGGGGGCAGTTCCGATTCTGATCAAATTAGTAGAAAGTTCTGATTGTGAGGATCTTGCTGGAACATCATTGGCTATCCTATGCTTGCTTGCAAGATTTGAAGAGGGACTAACTGCTTTGAAAGAGACAGACCAAATTGTGCTATCAATGTTGGAAATTTTGAAGGGAAGGTGCATGTTGAGTAAAGAGGGAGCTGCTGATATTCTACTCCGTTTATTTGATGAAAGTGAGGGATGCATAAGAGATGCTCTGAGGTTGCCTGAGTTTTCATCTGTGATAGCTGATCTTTCTGTTAGAGGGTCAGTGAGAGCTCGAGAGAAGGCTAGTTTTCTCATGAAGAAACTAATGGAAGCTAACGTGGATATTGTTTATGGCGTTATTGGCGACAAAACCGCGGCATATTTGCAATGGTAGGAGTAGCTGCAAGGCAGAGGCAGATACAAGAAATGAATTTGATGGATCCAATATTTATATTCTCGGCACTGAATTTGTTGCAGTTTTGAACGTATGGGTTTAGAACTTAGTAGTTGTTGAAATTTTAGTGATTTTCGCGTAAAAAATTATATTCTGTTATAAAAATATTTGGTCCAGTTGAACCCGTTTGGACTATATTGCATCAGCCCCTGCATGTCGGATGTTGTGTAAGTTTACTTCATATGTTCTTATACACTTTGTCCATCAATCAAGCAATTCATGGAGATTCTTTACAATTCTTAGAACTTTACAAAGAAGACTTCAAAGCTCAACTTTTCTAGCAAGGTATTTCAATTGCTCATCAGGCTAAAGTTTGCAAAAATCTAACAAGGCACTATTTAAGGATCATCTTGGGTTTTAAGTTAAATGTGAATGGTTAACCTCTTAAAGTTAACGCAAGTCTCATATTTAAAAAACGTTATGCACTTGAGGATAAATTTTCAAACAAATAAAGTTTACCTATGTTTACCCGTAAAACGGTACAATTGAATTTGTGATGTGGTTTATAGAAAAACGATTCGATTTGATAAAAAAATGATCAATAAATAGTACAAAAATAAGATTAGTGATTGAGATTAAAAGGAAAGTAGCAAGCCTGATTCTGAGCCCGGTCTTTCCTAGAGAAAGAATAGTAATAATGATAGAACAATGATAAAAATGCTTTTGATTGAGCTTGAAACAATATGTTATAGCTTTTGTGCGCATAATCTATCCTCCCCTTACAAGAGTTACGAATCTGATATTTATAGCTATTCCTAGGGAGACAAGATCCTAAAATCAAGCTCTTTTTGAATGTGAATAAAAGCGTTATTGATGGGTGCATAACGTCAGGCTTTGAATGTAAATATTCTCTGTAACGGCCGTACGTTGAATGCTATCCGATGTCCAAACTTTTGTGCTTCTATTATTGGTCATGTTTCCTTCGGAATTCATCTTGTACCGGTTACACACTTTGCACCTGGTACTAGTTATCTTCTTATTCATCCTTTGCTTGTCTTCGGTTTCACGTGTTATCCCATCATACGGTCACCTGTTACCAATCAATTTTACCCAATACAGATAGTCCCCTTACTTTTCGATGACGCAATTCAACGTTACCGAAAAATAGATAAGAATTCTTTTCTTGGCGGGAAAGTTCCTGAACAGTTTTTGACATTTGAAAGGACACATGTCTCCTCACATTTAATACTCCGAACACGTGTTGTCCCGTGATTAAGCAAGTATTTTCACCGGGTTTCGAGGTAATCATGACCACAAGTTTTGCTGTCTATATCTTTTTCACTACTTATCATTTTTACTTCACTTTTACTACTCTAACAATCTCTCTCTTTCTCTGAATTTCTTTAGGACTTTTTTACAGCCTCCAACTTTCTTAGCAATAACATCTTTATCAATCTTCTATCATCATGTCTTAGTCTTCTTACACTGCTTCTTTTTGGGAACACTGGTCTTCTCTTCGGTGGAGGTCCGAAGAGGAACAAATCCAAATAGGCTAACGCTGAGTCTGAACCCCCAACTATTAACACCATCATTCCACTCCATCTTTAGCACCTCATCCGATCTTTAAGAACAAAACCCATCTGCAAATTTCCAAAGCCACAGGTTTTGGCCAATTTTCAAGTGCCTCTCCTCATTCGCCCTTCTAGTATCCCTACCGTAAAGGAGGACTGCAACTATCCCAATGTTGAGATTCTCGCCCCAGATATGGTAGAGCGAGTTACCTACTCCAGAGAGGGGTTTACGTATGTTTATACATATCCCTTTACTTTGGGTCCCTTCTCTTTGGGGTCGAGTGAAGGACTCGACCCAATAATTTTGGAATTTTTCTAATGGTATTAGGTCTGCTTAGTACAAGTAGGTCCATCCGTATGGCGGACGGTGGCCTTACTTCGTTAATTATGCACTGAAATCGGAGAAACCCTAACTCTTACACATATGATTAATCTTTACTCCCCTAAGTTTTTCCGTGGAGGAGTATTAAACTTCAGCAAACGGGGTACCACGCCCTTCTCACCAGTGTAGACGATGATAACGACTGTGGATGAATGGAACGGTTCGTTGTTATTGCTACCATGGACATTATCCCGACAAAACTCCAACTTTTCCCGATTCGTGGAATCAATTCCCTAAGTATTTGGATATTTATTTCCTTTCTTCGTAAAAATAATAATTTTTTGTTTTGTTGAATTTCTCTTTTTTGACTTCATTCGTTTCAGCTACGTGTTGGGAACCACAACGGGTTCCCGGTCTGGACCGATGGGTTCAGAAAATTCTGGATATTACGACTCTGAAAACCCATCGGTGAAAGGAAACAGCTCCCAAGTACAAGTAGAAGGCCAAGCACCATGGTAAGCCAAAGGCTTTCTTTCTTTTATCCTTGTTCGAACATAAGAAATCTCATGAATAAATCGCTAACTCTATTTTTGTCTTACACAGGGCTTCCGAGGGGTTCCGTCATCTACCCCGATGTCGATACCCTTGATGACCCCGAGGAGGCCAGGAGGGTGTTGCAAAAAATCTTTGCTAGAAGTAAAGCTCGTGGATCTGCCCGAGCCTCCAGTGAAGGTGCCTTCTCTCGGATTCCCCGGTCCGAGAACAAGAAATCGAAGAAAAGATGTTCCACCTCGGCTAGGACTCAGGAGAAGAGAGTAAAGAAAATACCATCCGAGCCGGCCATAGTGGTCCTCGTTGACAAAGGGGAAGCCAATGATGAAAAGGTTCCCCTTCAAAGGAGAAAATGATCTGTATTAGCTCAACTAGATGCTCAGCCGGGGGAGCTTCAAAACCCATCGTCGCATGACGTTCAGGCACTTTGGGGTAAGATGGGCTTGGTTGAGAATGCTAACTCTCGCTTCTCGGCCCCCATTGTTGTCTCCGGTCCAAGGTGTTCGGATTTGAGCTTATTCTGCCTTCAACCACTGATCAAGCAACAATCACCATCCCTTCTGCCAAACCTACTTCTTCTCCTTCTACACCAACAATGTCACATCTACCGACACCAGCTGCTCCTTCGCCACTAGCACTAACTGCATCTCCTCCACCGACATCAGCTGATCAAGAAAGGGATGCCTATCCTCCTCGGTCTCCTAACTATGGTAACTTGGGGATCATCTATGTTATACCTTCTT